TTATATTTATTTATGATTTTTTTATTTTCATATGATTAATATTGTGTGGCCATGTCTGATGGTCTAGTATAGGTTAGAATGAAGCTTTGGTATGATAATTGTAATGATTAGTGGAAAATTTCTGGTTTGAAGCAAAAAAATTCCAGAATTAGGGTTTCTATTAGGCCTGTTCTGTCTGGCCCTGTTTCCCCTAGTTAGAGGCTGAATTAGCCTTGGATTAAAACATACAAGTTGTATAGGATGGTATTTTTATAGTTGCCTACAAAATTTCAGGCAAATCTGAGTAGTGTAACCTGTGAAAAGACCGAAATACCCCTGCTGCCCTGTTTCTGTCCGAACATGTTAATCAGCTTCTGTAATTGGTTGTTTTGACCAGGAATACTACTGATTTGGTTGTTGATGTCTTCTTAAGAATTATATCCTTGTATCTTATCTTTCAAATGGCTTTGGAATTACCTGAATTGGAGTTGTGTGTGCTGAGATATGAGTGAATAAAGCAGGACTGCTAGTTGATTTCCGCGGTAAGTTTCGAACTGGAAAATCTGGAGTTGTCTTGGTAAATTTGATCTAATTAGGGTGATAAATGGACTTAGTAGTATTCATCAAAGTTATAGCTCTCTGTCTTAGCTTCGAAATGGTGTAAATTACACCCCAATCCGATAAGCGTAGCTCCCGTTGTGTCCGTTCCGCTAAATGACGTCAAAACTGTCTTTTGGTTTAGGGCATAAACTTCATTTCCGGACCATTGTCCTAGCTTGAATTTGTACTTGTACCACTTGGAACCTATTGAATGGCTATTGCAATGAGGTTATTTTTGCGTGTGACTTTGGGATTGATTGAGGAAAACAATGAAGCCATAAATGGGTGGAAAATAGGTAAATACAGAGGGTTTGCTGCCAAAATTTTAGGACTACGCGATTCTTTCAAGTTGAGTTGATCTTGGTAAAAATGATGGGTTTTGGGAGTTGTTTGTAACCCTAGGACCAACTGTTATCTTTTTGCTCAAAAGTCATAGTTTATTCTTTTGTACTAGTACTTAACCTGGAAAGACGTACGACATGTAGTCGAGCCTCACTTGTACATTCCGTTTATTTGATTTTGGATGTGAAACCTTCAATTGTTTTACTTTGATGATTTTAGGGTTTCTTGGCGATTAAAGCCAGTTTGAAGTGAAAACTTTTGAAGTATCCGTACTTAAACCGGTGAGTGTACCACTCCCCTCACTTGTTGTTTAACTCGGTGTCTGTACATGCAATCTGTGATATGAACGACTGAACTATCTGTTTATTTTGTTTGAGACGAGGGTGTACTTTATCACACTCGTTCTCTTGTCTGTTCATATGCTAAATTTTGGTACGAATCTGAATCTGTTATCTGTATCTATATATGTATTTGTTATCTGTATCTGTATCTGTATCTGTTATCTGTATCTGTATCTGTTCTGATGTTGTTTGGAAGCTTGTATCCAACGACCTTTCTGTGACCTCTGAGCTCAACACCTGTGGCTAGTTACTCGAGTCGGGCTGGCAAGGGCCTGGTCAGTTAGATAACGAATCACGGTAGTCTGTTTTGCGATCTTTGGGTATGGAGGCCCTTGATTCCGATATACTCGAGTATTACCACTTCTGTTTCTGTTTGGAGTTCGGGCCCGGTAGGAGTAAGTTTGGTAGACGGATTTTGGTGTAAAGTGGAGCTCTACTGGATGGGACTGGTTACTTTATTTGGAAGTTGACGGAGTGTCAACTATTCTTTCGATCAAGCTTTGGTGAAACAAGTGGGAATTTGGCTCCTGAGAGCCACCCGTATCCTTTCTATCTATGGTGTTTGTTCATTCTGTATTTGATTTGCATATGTGACTAATTGAATATGAAGTTCCACGATTTTTACTTGCTATTATTTTGGTACCTCATTGAGCGCAAGCTCACCCCTTTCTGTTACCTTTGTTTTCCTTATAGGGTTCCATGTTTTGAAACCAAGATTTTTGGAAGAAAAGAGTTGAGCTAGTTGTAGGACTTCTCTTGCTTATGCTCCTCTGTAACTGAAACCCTAATTGTATTTTGTGTAGCATATATACTTTGACTTGTATTTTGGTTTATTTGTTTAAGACTCCGATGTAAATATATGTAGTTTCCGATTGTTCGTTTTCCTTGGATCTTTTCGCGCATGCTATGGTAGGTTTGTGTGTATCGACTCCGTAGTCCTGGCGAGAGTTGGGCAGGCGGTCCGCCGAACCCTTTGGCTCGCCTTAGGGTGAGGTGGGGCTGTCACACTCTCCCAGATTTCCCCAGGTTCCCTTGTTTTCCGCAGTCTATCTCTCTCCCTTGCTTTCTCCCCAAAATCCCTCTCTCTTTCTTGCTCTCAGTTTCTTCCTCTTTGGTTTTGTCTTTCTTTCCTCCTTCCCGCAGCTTCCTTTTTTCTTTCTTCTTGTTTTTTTTTTAGATTTTTCCTAGACTTCGACTTGTCCTAGCCACCTAATCTAGCAAGTGTTGTGGTGTCAAAAGAAATCAAAGACACATGGCTCATTTGCATGCACTCCACTTAGCTATTGTGCATGGCCTCCACCTATTTTCTTTTCCTTTTTTATTTTTTGTTTTTCAAAACCAATTTATGATAAATAAAATGTTAATTCCTAATTGAGATTGCCTTACAAAAATGTCATTTTATTTGGAAGAAATTGAGTTTGAAAAAGATTAAAAATAGATTTTTTTGAGAATTTTCTTTTTCAGAAATTTAATGCAAAAATGTTTTTTTTAAAAAAAGAAATCATGAACTTAATTGGCTACAATAAATGAACACTAACTAACATTTTACAAACTTAATCAACTAGAATAAAATCAAATCAAATCAAATAAAAGCAAGAAGAAATAATAAAAAAATAAACCTAAAATTGAATTAAATAAACTTGAAAATTTGGTGCCTACAGCTTGTCCCTCGTTGTCTGAATTTCGAAAAACTTGAGACAAAAACATAGACACCAAATACTTACCCGTAATTATTCTGCCGTGAACTGAAATAAGCAAACATAAAAAGGTCAGTGGGATAAAGCCCCTGCCATAACATCAATCAATGGGATAAAAACCCAAGCCTGCCTTAAAATTGGTGACCTAGTGAAATGAAATTTCTCTTATTTACCCTCCAACACAAAAAAATTATTAAGACACCACTTTAATTATCAAATAATCATAAGGGATGGAAATAAACATGCAATTGAATCAATTAAAGTGTTTGGTTCATGAGTTTGCTGGCTTGATTTGAGATTGCGTAAGATGTCTCAATTGAATAAGCTACAAAGTTGCAGAAAGAAACCAATGATAAAACCCGTTCCTGCCATAACATCGGTCAATGGGATAAAACCCGATTCTGCCGTAAAATTGGTCAGTGGGATAAAATCCAATCCTACCATAACATACCCTACCATAAAATCGGTCAGTGGGATAAAACCCGATCCTGCCATAACATCGGTCAGTCGGATAAAATCCGAGCCTACCATAACATCGGTCAGTGAAATAAAATCCTATCCTGCCATAACATTGATCAGTGGGATAAAACTCGAGCTTGCCATTATTATAGAATGTCTTTTGTAGGTGTTCAAAAAATTTTGATGCAAATAGATGACTTCTTCTAAAAAGATTTGCCCCAGTGTGATGTTATTGGTCCTGCAAAAAGGAATAATCATAATGACAAGATAATCCCACCACCATCCAATCAACCCCTCCTTCAAAAAATATGTAAACATGAGTACTTGGCCGTTCTTCTCCGCTATAGCCAAAAACTCAACTTTGCTCTACGAACTGCATCAAATTTTCTTAACTTCCAATGCTCATCAATTATAACATTCGGTATCCAGGCAATTTCAATAAATCATAAGGATTACCATTTGATAAATCCAAAGAGATAAATGAGACTACGAAACACATGAAAAATGTTTTATTTACACAAAAATGATGAAAATCCCAGTAACGTGAGAACAACCATTTATTTTTATTGAAAGAAAATTGATTTTAGAGAAATGAACCTTAAAATTCAAAAGTTTATGTTTGATAAACCAAAACACTTTGATCTCGAACAAAATGCCACACTTGACCCTTCGGATATCGTTCCTCCAGAGTTCGATGCATGGCAACAGAACCACAATGTAAAGAGAAATTCCAATGAACTGAGTCACCAATCTTTCAAATCCAATCTCACTTCTCCTTATAAAATCCTACCTTAGCGCCCTTTCGGGTTTTCACTAAGGTTACCTCCACCTTTTTTTTCTTTTTCTTTTTTTCCTTTTTCTTTTCTTTTCTCTTTTCCTATTCTTTTCTCTTTTTTTCTTTTTCTCTTTTTTCCTTTTTTTTCTTTCTTTTTTTCTCCTTTTCTCTTTTTTTTTCAAATGTGCCCTTTCGGGTTTTCACCTGATAAACAAATCCTTCCGATAACCCTTATCAACTTAGAAATGTGTTTTAAGAAATGATAGCATCAGTGTGACAATCCTTCCCTTGCAAAATTGGTGAAGGTATACTGACACTATTTGTTATTTGATTAGAAAATTTTCTAAAAGATGTGATACAAATAACGGAAGTCAGGACTTTCGGTTTTCCATAATGTGGTTAGATGAGGTACTAAGAAAAGTTAAGGCTTGAAAGCAGATTTTATATGTGTTTAAATCATCTGAGGTTGTATCTTCATATTAACCCTACTTAGGATTAGACTAAAATTGCCCCAATTTATTCTCAACTGAGGTTCTTTTCTTTAATTTTCTTTTCCCCTTTTGTTTCTCTATCATTTTTACCTTTTGAGGTTTTCTCTCTTTCTCTTTCAACTCAAACTTGCCCCAGTGTGGGGTTTACGATTCTCGAGAGTTGCCAAATGAAATAATTTACTCTGAAGGTTCAAAAGGGATCACCAGGGATAGAAAGGAAGAAGGCCTGACTTTCATTCCATTCTTTGCATTAACTCTAAAAGGAAACTTTCACTTATCAAATGAAAAATTTCTTATACATATCCAAATTGATCATTTATGGAAAAACTTGTTCATCCATTTCTGCGAGAACAAGTGCTCCACCCGGCAATACCAATTTGGGGCGAACTTGCCTTTGGCCTCCTCTTGCACTGCCAAAATACGTTTCAACACTTTGTCTCCTTCTTCGAATAGTGGCAATTTGACCTTCTTGTTGTAAGCATGGGTCATTCTTTTTTGATAGCACTGACCATGATAAATGGCATTTAACCTTCAAAGACAACTGTTTGTGACGTTGTTTAATCCAATCTGCTTCATTCAATTTGGCCTCCATTAGTATGCGCAATGAAGGAATCTTGACCTCAGCTGGCAAAACTGCTTCCATTCCGTACATAAGGTTGTAAGGCGTTGTTCCAATAGAAGTTCGAATAGCAGTTCTATATGACAATAATGCATAGGAGAGCTTCTCGTGCCAATCCCGATGTCTTTCGATTATTTTACGGATTATTTTCTTCATATTCTTATTTGCGATCTTCACAGCTCCATTCATCTATGATCTATAAATAGTAGAATTCCGATGCTTGATTTTGAACTGCTCGCACAATCCATCCACCATGTCATTGTTGAGATTCTTAGCATTGTCGGTGATTAATGTCTCTGGCATACCGAAACGATAAATGATGTGTTTTCATAGAAAATTGGTCACCACCTTCTTAGTCACATGCCTGTAAGACTCGGCTTCAACCTATTTAGTAAAGTATTCAATTGCCACAAAATAAAACGATGCCCGTTTGAAGCAGGAGGGTCAATAGTTCCAATTACATCCATATCCCACATTGAACATGGCCAGGGAGCATTCATACTGTATAATTCTATGGGGGGAGTACGCATAACATCACCATGCAATTGACATTTAATGTATTTTCTGACAAAAACTACACAATTGTGCTCCATAGTAAGCCAAAAATATCTTGTCTCATGATTTTCTTTGCTAGTAAATGCCCATTCATAAGTGATCCACACACACCACTATGCACTTCTTTCATCAAATAATCTGCTTCATCTTCATCAACGCATCCTAAAAGGCCCAAGTCTGACATCCTTTTGTATACCACCTCTCCATTCAAAAAAAACTTGGATGATAATCTGCACAAGAACCTTTTAGCGGTCATATCAGCACCTGAAGGATAGGATCCCGTTTTGAGAAATTCCTTGATATCGCTGTACCAGGGGATGGCCATCAGAAGATTTTTTCAAAAACTAAACAATGTGCAAGTTTTTCTTGTAACTGAATCTGGATAGGTTCGATCACCAGCTCGCCTGGATATTGAATCATTGAAGATAAAGTTGCCAGAGTATCAGTAAAAATATTTCTGGCACATGGAAAATGCCTGAACTCCAGACTTCTTAATTTGTTTGCCAAATCGAGTAAACTGCAATGATATGACAAGATTTTTGAATCTCGAGTGATCCATTCTTTGAGCGTTTGGTGCACGAGCAAATTGAAATCACTAAACACTATTAAATCCTTTATTTCCATCTCCAATGCCATTTTTAGTCCAAAAATGCAAGCCTCATATTCAGCCATATTGTTGGTGCAGAAAAACCGCAGTTTAGCGGAACTGGGGTAATGTTTTCGTTCAGGCGATACTAGAACAGCTCCGAAAGAATTTGAAGTACCATCAAAAAACAGTCTCCACTCAGAGCATCGCTCATTCATATCCTCTACTATACCAACAAACAGGACATCCTCATCCAAAAAATAAGTGTGAAGCGGTTGATAATCGTCTTCCAGTGGATTTTTAGCCAAATGATCTACTACGGCCTACCCCTTGATTGCCTTTAGCGTGGTGAAGATGATATCGAATTCAAAAAGGATCATTTGCCATTTCGCCATGCGTCCGGTCAGTATTGGTTTCTCCAATAGGTACTTCAAAGGATCTGAATGAGAGATAAGATAGGTGGTGTGACTACGCAAATAATGCCTTAGTTTCTGGGCTGCCCAGGCCAATGCACAACAACTCCTTTCAAGAAATGAGTATTTTGCCTCGTAAGGTGTGACCTTCTTGCTAAGATAATAAATGGCTTGCTCCCTTTTTCCAGAATCATCATGCTGCCCCAAAACACATCCCACAGCCTCGTCAAGCACAGATAGGTACATAATCAAAGGTCGACCCAGCTTGGGTGGCACTAAGACCGGGGGGTGCAACAAGTAATCCTTAATCTTATCAAAAGCTTGCTGACATTCTTCGCTCCAATACAATGGCACATTCTTCTTTAATAATTTAAACAAAGGCTCACATGTAGAAGTCAATTGAGTAATGAACTTGTCGATGAAATTAATCTTTCTCAAGAAACTCTTCACATCCTTTTGTGTTTTTGACACTCACATCTCACGAATTGCTTTAATTTTCGTCGGATTTATCTCTAATTCTTACTGACAATGAACCCCAATAATTTGCCAGCGGGAGCTCCGAAAGGGCCCTTCATAGGATTTAATTTCAAATTATATCTTTTCAACCTTTCAAATAACTTTTTCAAGTCAACCAAATGATCCTCCGCTTTCTTGAATTTGATTATGATGTCATCTACATAAACTTCCATCTCCTTATGAATCATATCGTGGAACAAGGCAGTCATGGTCCTTTGATAAGTAACTCCAACATTTTTCAATCCGAACGGCATTACTCAGTAGCAAAATGTTCCCCACAGAGTGATAAAAGCAGTTTTCTCCTTATCATTTTCTGTCATTAGAATTTGGTGGTACCTGGCGAAGCAATGGTGAAAAGACTCGATCTCATGCCTAGCGATGTTGTCCAAAAGAATATGTATGTTTGGCAAGAGAAAATCATCCTTAGGACTAGCCTTGTTTAAATCTCAATAGTCAACACTTACTCTCACCTCTCCACTTTTCTTCGAGACTGGGACTGGATTTGAAATCCAAATAGGGTAGTGAGACACCATGATAATTCTGGCATTGAGTTGCTTCTCAATTTGCTCCTGATTTTGAGACTTATGTCCGGTTTGAATTTACGAAGCTTCTATTTCACTGGTAAAAAATTTGGGTCCGTTGCCAATTGTGAACCACTATATCTGTTGAAATGCCCGTCATGTCATCATAGGACCAAGCAAACACATCTTGAAACATGATCAAAAATTCAATCATCTCTTTTCTTTGCTTCTTATTCAAATGAATGCTAATTTTTATCTCCTTGACATCAGTCTCAGTGCCAACATCGATGGTTTATGTTTCTAAGTTCGGTTTGGCTTTCTCTTCATATTGTTCGAAATTCTTTAACAAAGACTCAGATTCTTTCTCGTTATCGTTCTCGTCTTGAATTTCTGATTTCAAAATTTCGAATTCGTGAGAGATATCGAGATTGCAATCATCAAATTCCGGAATAGTGATATCCAAAGGATCAATGTGCTTTATTTTTGGCCATCAGAAAAGAATGAAATATATACAACAATGTGTAAGTAAAATAATTAAAAAATGAACACTGCATTTCATTGAATTTTAAATAAAGGACAAAATGTCATAATACGCTACTTAACAAAAGGAACGCTATTTAACATGAGACTTGTATTGAAAAGATATTTGATTCAAAACTATTTACAAAACTGAAATGCAAAAGATGAGCAATGCGAATAATTTCTTTCATAGTTCTCAACCAAAGGCAATCCTCTAGATTTACCGAAATTCCCTTCGGGAGGAAAGGAAATCACTGGTCCAATTCTTTATTGCTTCCCTGGAAACCTCTAAAAATTCTGGATTCTCTGATTGCTCGCCCTCATAAGTAACCCCTACAAACAGCTTAGACAAATCGATATTCACTTCATCGATCGAGTCCAATTCAGATCTAATCACTTCTGATGGATAGGGAAAAGTATAATGCAATGGTGGGATATTCCTGACAACTTGTTTTCCTTCCTTTTCTGCTCTCTTGTGATCCAACATTTCTTTCTTGTCCCTGGAGGTAGGTTGAAACCCTAGTCCAAAAGTGCCCTTCTTTCCTTGAGGCTCTTTTGGTTCTAGAATCCCCTACAAGTTACGCCCTAAACCCTTGCCTATCTCATATCCTCCTCGAAGCATTTCTTTACCCATCATAATGCTGGCTTCTGGCAAATTCATTCCTACCACTGACTTTTTCTTAGATACCCATCCTACTGAGACAATATCAGCCACATGGTGAGGAGAAACCAGAGTTTTTCAATCACTTCTCCCATCCAGTGCGGGATTGACGATCATATTGCAATCATCCTCTGCAAACACTGTGATTAGTTGGTCATTCACTACAAATCTCAATATCTGATGGAGTGAAGAGGGTATAGCACCCAAAGCATGAATCCAGGGTCGTCCAAGCAGAATATTATAAACACTTGAAAAATTCATGACTTGGCACGTGACTTGGAATTGGACAGGTCCTATTTCCAGTACTAAATCCAGTTCTCCCATCGATTCTCTTTTTGCACCATCTAATCCCCTCACCACAGTCGCAAACAGCCGGAGTTTAGCTTCTTGAAATCCCAATTTAACCAATGTATTCCAGGGAAAGATATTCAAAGCAGATCCGTTGTCTATCAAGACTCGCGGCAGCAACTTCTCATTACAACAGACTGAGATATACAATACCTTGTTGTGTCCCAACCCTCAGAAGTCAAATCCTCGTCAGAAAAAGAAATCCAATTTGAAGCCAAAACATGTTCTACTACATGAGTGAACTTGTCAACCGGAATATTCTTAGGCACCTGAGTCTCAGTTAACACCTTGAGCAGAACTTCTTTATGAAGTTCCGAAGTTAGAAGCGGATTCAGTATAGAGATTTGAGCGGGTATTTTATCCAATTGCTTGATTACTTTATACTTGCTTTTCTTCAACATCTTAAGAAAATTAAATGCCTCTTCTTCAGTCACAGCTAGTCTTGTTGGCGCGGCATTTTCCTTTGCTTAAGATGGTTCGTGAACTACAAGTTCGCCTACGATTCTTCCAGATCTAGTGACAGCGGCCACCTCCTTCTTTAATACTTCTTCTCCTTCAATTAATAAAAGTGACTCACTATAATTTCATGGCACTTCTTGCAAGTTAAGAACAGGCGCTTGTTCAGGCAATTCAAGTACTATAATCTCTGAAGGCTCACATTCAAAGGGTATAACATCTAAAATGAAAGGATCAATATTTTTCTTGACTTCGGGAGTTTCTTCTTCCAGTATGAATGGTTATTATCTCAGCTTCATCCAAAATGTATTGAGTAGGTTCCTCGATCTACTCATCAATTGTAATAACTCCAATAGCATTCTTGTGCGCAGGAAGAGGGTTCTTGCTAACACTCGATCCTTGTTCCTCTCTCCTTCTCAAGACTATATTTTCGGCATCAATCATGTCTAGAATTGTATGCTTAAGTGCCCAACAATTGATAGTAGAATGTTCAGAAGCTCCAGAATTATAAGCATAAAAGGATTGAGGATTATAACCAAGGGGAAATCCTTTAGGATACACTTTAGGAGGTATTGTACCAATTTTTCCTGCGGCTTTGAGTTGTTCATATAACT